GCCAAACCGCTAATTAGAAGGGTTGAAATTGGGTTGGCATAACGTAACCCAACCCAAACCGCCAACCTGCCGCTAATGTATATTTTTTTTAAAAATATATTCATAATAACTAATGTATATTTTTTTTAATTAATTTTAACTTATAAATTTTATAAATTTATTAAAATAAATGGTTAAAAACAATTTAAAAAAAATAAAGAAAGAATGTAGACAAGAACCCGGGTTCTACTTCAAGCTCGTAGGTTTTTATTATAAACAAGAACTTATGTCTCACGTGAAGGTTCTGATAAAAACGTACTCCAATAAGAACCTCCATAAAGGATGCTCTTATTATTCTGTTAATACTAGAAAAGTTTTTAAAGACGCATTTAGCTTGAATTTTATATTTAAATTTGAAACCGAAGGGTTTCATATAAAAAAAGTAACATTTGTAAAAATGCAGCAGAAAATAATTTCAGGTTACTTTTTTTAAAAGAAACCCTATCTAGATTCAATGACATTTTAAGCAAATCTAAACAAACCATAGGGTGTTTAGAATATTTCATTCTCAAATTTATAGCAGGTTCAAATGGAGCACTAGAAACCAAGGTACGTTTCCTCTATGCAGATCCACACACGAACATACTTGGCCTCCATAGGATGCTAGCACAAAACCCTAGATCTCTAGTTTGTATTTAATGGAAAAGAAAACATATTTCTTTTCTATTTATATCTGATAATCATTAAATCTAAAAGATTGATTAACCTTTTAGGCTTAAACTTATCACTTTATTTATACGTGGTTATCTGAGTTATAGATAAACTATAATTCCAAAACACAGGTCAGACTTGTTATTATCCCTTAAACCCATTTATCTATAACTCCATTAAGCCTAATTAAATAAACTCGTGTCAAAAGACGATGACGAGTAAATTTTTGTAATGGTTTGGATGCAAATAAGCATTTAGCTAATACTCGATATTTGATCATTGTACAATTTTAATGTGCATTTGTCAATTTATATACCAATTTAATTAATTAATAAGATAGACATCTCATTCTCGTACCAAAACTTAGGATTTTATCCATGTCATGCTACATGTCGAGAACAGATTGTAGTAATTAGAAAGAATTTAAAACATCATAATTTAAGTTCAAATATTAAGCGAGGTTGGGGTCGGGAATGATATGATATTACCCGCTTTTAATCGGACCGCAATTAAATTTTTATTTTTTTTAATTATTGTGTATATATGTGTGTGTGTGTGTGTGCATCTTTCTTATCGTATAAGAAATATATTTGATTTACTACGTGGGTATCCAACGGGTTCTCCAAACCCGTCAAGAATTAGTTGGAATCAAGGGATGCATTATCCGCCTAATACATCGCCCATTTTCATCCCTAGTGCTAACTGTTGATACGAAATAACATATATAACGGTGAATAACACAAGAAATTACATATATATATATAAAGAGTTTTTTTTTTTTTTTTTTACATTTAAATGAATATAAAATAAATACAGGTGTTAAAACTTTGATAGAAAGTCAAAAACAATGATCTAGATTTGTGTTCATGCATCCTTCCAATGTAGACTTTTTCATAAATAAATTAATAAAATCAAGAAGAAAAATGTGATTTTAAGTCAATTAAATCTCATATCACAAGAAACCTCTCACAACTTCTACACATCTCATTTTCGAATGTCATTGACCATCCCCACATATACATATACATATACATATATATATATATATATATATATATATAAATAAACTATGTTATCTATATAAATGACCATTTTAATTTGTATGAATCAGAGGCCACCGCCTATGTGAAAATGTAAACCCTACTTTACTCTCACTCTAAATATATATATATATATATATATGTATGTATATATATATATATATATATATGTATGTATTATATCACATGATAGAGTTGACCATCTCTCTCTATCAAATATTATATATGAGGTCTCACATCAACCAATAAGTAATATTTTTTGTTCACATATTTTCAATAATTCATAAATAGATTATAATAATAACATCATTATGTAATTATTTCATCAAATGCAATCAATAATAAACTTTTTGTTATGAACTTATGATCTAAATGGTTTGATGCACGTATCTTGTTTTTATCAGATATAAATGTCGATATTCGTAAGTTTAGTTTATTGTTTATAAATTTTAAAAGTGTTTGATAATTTTTGTAATTTATTCGATGATTTATATTTGATAAATGTTTTATGAATATGTTTTTGTAAGTTTTATATATATGCTTTTAATTAATGTACCAAATTTCAATAATAGTGATCATGTGTTGCAAATCATTCTTTGACACATGATACTAGCGTACTACTTCGTACATATCAACTCAAAAATACTTACAAATTGTATATACTCTAATCTTTTATGACTATATATACACACACACACACTTAATTACGTACTTTAATTTATATTACATATTCTATTAAAAGTTGTTTTGGAATCACATATTAATTTTCAAATATCCATTTACAATCTTCAACTAAACTCGCATAACTTCTAGTTTATATATATATATATATATATATATATATATGAGAAAGATTGTGTGAGAAGCATAAAAAAATATCTGAACCATTGACCATTTTTAATCTTATGTACATCTATGAATTGCACTTTAGAAGAAAATTGATCTGATGTATCTTTGTGCACCTCAATTAGAGTTGACATTTAATTAGGACTGATCCAAGGCTGAAGATATATTTTTACGCTTCTCATTATAATTTCTCTTCTCACCGGAAACCAACCTTATATATGTGTGTGTGCGCGGACGCGTATGCATGGAATATGCTTCTCATATATAATCATTTAATGTAATCTTTTAAAGTATCTACAATAGATTCTTTAAATAGAGATAATGAAGTTCTATCTCTATTTTGCTCCAATAAGTTCTTTATTTTATTATTTAAAATAGAGAAAAAAACTGCAAGTTTAAAGAATTTTCTAAAACTTGATGTGAATAGAGATAAATTATTTTTTTAATTATTCTCATTAATTAAATTAATTTATTTTTATTTTATATATATATATATTAAAAAAATTGTATAAGATGATAAACTTATAAAATATAATAATATAATTAATGTTAAAAATTTTAAAATGAAGAATATGTTAAAAATGTAATTCTTTTCATAAAAATTAACTTTTAGCTTTTTATTATAGCAAAATTATAAATAATCTATTGGAGATGTTTTTTTTATAATATATATTTTGAAAGCTATGGATGTAAAATTAAATATATATAGTATAAAGTACACTATACAATGCATTTAATTTTAATTTAATTAACCTTCTTTTTATAATACTTAATAAATCAAATAATGTTTAATTAGATGGTTACAAATAAAATATGTGATGTTTATATTTTCATCTAATTTTTAGAAATATATAAGCTAAGGAGCCTGAATTGCTTATTAATTGGTATACACATTAATTAATTAGGAGCTAGAAATGAATTAAGCACCAAAAGCAATATATTAATAAACAAAAGCAGTTGGTGAAAACCCCAGAAACAGAAATCCAACAAAACTAGCTAAAAACTGAGATCTAACTTAACACAAGGGAGAGGAGGATCACAAAGGGGAAAGTAGATGGAAGATTTATGTCCAAAGAGACTCTCTTTTTAGAGGGTCCTGGATAACATTATTATTAGAAGAAGTGTAGCTCAGGAACTGTGGCATCTGATCACTGAAATCGCTCGTATTGCTGCCCGATAACAGCAGTGATTTCGCATCACAATCCACCATTGTTGGATGATGAGTGGTAGGCAGTTCAGGCTCCTGCTGCATCTGAATGCATAAGATCTCTGCTTGAGCTACTGCAAGTTGCATTTGCAGCTGGGAAACTTGGTTTTGTAAATAGGAAATTGCACCGACACATCCGTAAACTGGATCTCTCATTCTTGCGTTGGCTTCGTACACCAGACTGCTAACTGCATCGGCTCGTTGGTGAACTGGGAGCTCCTAATGTCACAAAACAACCAAGATATATCATGAACAATAAGTTTAATTAGAAACTTCAATTACTGTTTGTATAACTCTCTTTGACAAAAAGGGTAGGTTCTTGAAACTTTAGTTATTATTTCATCGATCGGTTAATTTTCAGGGTTTAGGTTCAAAAAGATTTCTTGAAAGTGACCATTTTGCAAGTCATCTTCAAACTTTAATGAATTATTAATTAAGGAGCAAGCTTTTAAGATGTACAGACAAATTCTTGAAATCATGACATATATAAAAGGGTTTCTTTATATATATATATATATAGACGCCATTTAAGCATCTTAACTATTGAAAAGAAACCCTAATTAATTCAAAAAACTTTTCAGCACCTTGATCACACAAGTACACAACATGATACACACGAAAGCATACATGCATACATATGTATGTATGTATATATATATATATATGTATATAGACTATAGAGAGAGAGAGAGAGAGAGGAGATAGAAAAGAAAGTACCTGCAACATCTTGCTGACATTGCTAGCACCAAAGACCTTGTGAACAATAGCAAACTTATGAGGATCATCAGGAGGAAAATAAGGAGCAAAGATACAATCTTTGGCACACCGACGTCTCAACAATTTGCAGGAGGCACATGGAGAGCTTCCTGATCCCATTTTTCTTAATTAATTTGCCAAATTAATTAACCTCTGGGAAATCAATTAATCAATCAATTTCTGAAACTCAGGCTGCAAGATGATGAAGACGACCAAAAGTAGAGAGTAAACTATAAAAGGTGTAGTTTGGAAGAGAATGAGCTTTGCCACTACCCTATTTATAATGCCTTTCATCTGTTGTAGAATGAACCGGAAACATTTATTAATATAATACTCCATTTCTCATTCAACATATATATATATATATATATATATATATATATATATATGATTAAATAAATCGATATATATCAATATAAAACAATTTTAATAAAAATTATCTAATTATTGCATACTTTCAAATGATCACAATATTAATTATTTGTATTCATTTTTAATTGTTTAAGATAAAATAATTAAAAGTCAATTAAGAATGAAATGTGAAAGGCAAATTGCAGCTCATTTAAAATTGAAAAAATAATTTAATGATGAAAGAATGAAAACCAGCTAAGACCAGGATGAGGAAATGGGGGATTTGCTTGGCTTTGAAAACTGTCTCTTTTATACATGAATGGAGATTTCACATTTATGCCCCAACTTTTGCAAATCATGTGAAACCTAACAAACTTATGGATCAAGTCATGATTCTAATAATTTATTTTATGGGGTAATATTTTCGACCATTAAAATGGATTAATGGTAAATGTTTATTACTCGGTAAACGTCTATTGGATATAATACCGTAAGAGTCATCAACCTCACTTATCCGGTAAGACTTTCAATCTTGTTTTTTTTCTTCTTACCAAATAAGATTATTAATCCTTTCTATGTTTACCCAGAAAGGTAATTAAGCCGGTAAGCGCTTACCAAAATACGTGTTTAGTAAACGGCCCCTTACAAATTAAGATCGTTGGTTGTTTGTATTTTTATAACTATTTACAACGAAATCATAAGTATAATGGTTTTAAAAAAAAGTTTAAAACATTTCAAAAACCTTGTAAACTGATCATTTTTTTTTTAAATATTACTAAAAATACTTCAATTCTCCAAGAAAAAAAAAAATGCAAAACCGTTATAAATAATTATTTTTGAAAATCATTCTTGTATTTTCTAAAGTTTATCGATGAACAGGGCGGATCTAGTCCTTAAGGACCGGGGGAAAGACTCTCAGTCAAAGACCAAAAACGTTTGTTGACTAGTTTAAATTTTCTATTTTTATCCTCGTCTCACATGGTTTCCCTTCAGTCTCATATGGCCATTTGCTCGCCTCCCCCAAGTCTCATCCAGCGTGCCCCCACTCCATTAATTTCTTGGATTCATCAAAACCAGAAATTACGGTTTTGTACTGCTATCTATTAGGACTATAATCTGTTTTTTTTAACCACAATGGTGGTGCATGATTGGTTTAAGCTTGACTCCAAAGATCAAAAGTATCAGGAGGTCTCAGGTTCAAATACAAGGAGGAATAAAAATTTACTTGTGGCCACAGAGGTTCAAATGCGGTGACTCCAGACTATCTGCAAAGCAGGTGGTCGCCCTACGATTAGTCGACTCGCATAGCGGGTTGGATATCGAGGTTGATAAAATAAAATAAAAAACTGTTCTTTTTTCCAACATTGAAGGGTAATACAGTAAATTGAGATTAAAGGCGATAGCATTGACCACCGCCTTGGCGCGTGATAGGTTGGCCATGTCCATGCAAATTTCTTTGCTTTTCTTTAATCAAACGTTTGTGTTTTTAAGTCTACACGTTCCTGTTTTGACTCTTTTTAACTTTTCACTTACACTTTTTTTAATTTTTTATATAATTTTTATTTTTTTAATATCACCAAAAAAAAAAAACATATCCAAATTAATATATATATATATATATATATATATTCCTATTTTTTAAAAATTAAACAAAAATGATTTCAAATATATCGAAATTGATTTGTTATGATATTCAATCTTCGGAAATAATCGATGACATTTTTAGGTTCATAAGATCGATGATCGTATGAATGTGTTATGGTTAATTGTTAAAATGAACGTAAAGCATTGATACGATCTATTATTATTAAAGAATAATTTGTTAATTAGTGGCTTAATGAAACTCACAACTTATTCGGCCAGTGTACATGACTATTTGATTATGGCTTAATGATATATAAAGTGACTTATTTCGTAAGCTTATAGGGGAAAGTTTTATGCAGAAAACCATTTTTTTTCCAAACTCGTTTTTTCCAATTAAAAAACACACTTCTTCCATATATGAATTTTTTTCTCAATCTATACAGACAGATTGATCAACATAGACAATTGTATTCATATATGAGTTAGGCATTATTTGGCAAACATAAATTAGCTTATTTTTTAAGGGGTTTTTTTTTTTTTTTGTCACTTTTTCAATTATAACCTTTATCAATATTAATTAATTAATATTCACTATTTATTACAATTACTTATAAAAAAATATAGTTATTAATAAGTATTAATTAATACTAATATATACATTAATATCAATTGTTAATTATTTAGAATAACTATGGATCATATTCATTATTATTTTTTAT